GGTCATAACTAGAAAATATCATAGCACTGTAGTAAATACTGCTGTATTATAAAGATAAGATTCTCTGTCCATTTTCAAACACTAAAAGAACTGCTCAAATAAAACTGGCATACTGTACTTAATTTCTAACGTGAGGGAAAGGCCGAAAAGTGTTCTAGATGGCTAGTTCTCAGACATGGTTTCGACATCATTGTGGAAATAAATTTAACAAAAGAAGGAAAGTGATTCCTATTTTTACACAACTATAAAACAATAACAAGACAGAAATATTAGTTTAAGCTCATGACCATTACCTCTAATAAATATTAAATACAAAAGGTAATAAATAAACCTTTTAGCCATCTGACAAACTTCCAACTACAACTACTGGAACCGTAACAACTTAATGGGGTAAGAAAGTGGGGAAACTTTTCTGTTGTGTATATACTACAGGAACATGTATTACTGGCACAGGTTGCCCGAAGTGGTTGTGGAGTCTCCCTCCTTGGAGATATTCAAAAGCCATCTCGACATGGTCCTGGAAAACCAGCTCCATGTGGCTTTCCTTAAGCAAGGAGGTTGGACAAGATGACCTCCAGAGGTCCCTGCCAACCTCAGCTATTCTGCAATCAGCAGCACACTACTGGAATCTTTCTTTACTTGCCGATGGTCACCAGACACTTCTGTAACGAGGAAAGGAGCCACAGTGGCCACGATGCTATGGCAAATGGGGATGCTGATAATTAAACTGTCCACTACTGAAACAGATAACCAGTACCTTCTTATTTTGAAACAGTTTCTCATAACCAGTACCTTCTAATTTTGAGACATTTTCTGAGACTACTAGCAGTTGAAGATGCACAAAACAGAGTAAGGGTAATATCCTGATGCCCTGAAGTATGAGTTGAAATGAGAGATTCTCCTCTCCTTTCCCCCATCCACATGAAAACATGCGGGTAAACAGTTGAAAGTAAAGATAGCTGTCAGCTCTGAAGTAGCCACTGTCTAACAAAACTGACCTTTGGAAGCTATTGGTGACTGTGGAAGATGAGTATCAGATGGCTGACACTGAGTTTGGCCTTCCCCTTACACCCTGAAATTGCAGCCCTGTGGCAGAGATAACTGAACACTTTGTGAATCAGCCCCTGAAACACAACAAGGTTTTAGCGCAGTTTAGATTTCAACGAATTGAAAGTTTTGTTAGCTTTAATACCCAATGCTGAAACCCTCAGTTGTTCATAATTTTCTTCATTATCCATTTGGTCTTCCTTTCCATGACAACTATTACCAATCATCATTCCTTCCTTCTACAAGTCAGCATCAACTTCGGCAGCCCAACTTTTAATCTGCTACGGCACTGCAAGCTATATATGTTTTAACCTGGAACCTACAGTAACCTGCTACACAATTTCTTGTAAAATTTACTTTCATCAATTTATTAAAAATCTTGAAATTCTTAAACTTATCACTATATTCTACTTATAGAGAATAAACAGAGAGAATAAACTATTTAGAATGAATACTAATAAACAGTTTTTAAAGATATGAACTACAAATATGGTAATTTGCATTTTTAACTCTGTAGATTGCTTTGCAGACACTAGTTATGCAAAAGTGCACATTAGTATATCTTTCAAAGGAATCACTATTCATACTATTTTATAAAGATTACTTTTGCTTTTAAAAAAATCTTGCTGCTCAGTGAAGAGCTGAGTAAAAAAGTATATGAAGACATTGTCATACCTCAGGTATTGAAAAAGTTCTGGAGAAGGACAGAATGTCCTGGAATCTAAATATGGAAACGAAGGCTATTTAAATACTTAAGTCAAGTTTCAAAATTCAGGCCCCTTTAGCTCTCTTGTCTATGTCAACCTTGTTCACAAATTATTTATTTGAAGGAATGACACTTCCAGAATTTGCTTATATTATCAGAAAAGAAAGTCTGTAAGAATGATAACAAAAAAAATTTCCCTCAAACTACCAAGACTCAACTTGCCAGCAAAAGGAAGACATATCCCACCTGTTTCATTTAATCTCTTCAACTACAACATGACAGTTAAACTTTGTATGTTTAACCTCTTTATGTATGAAAGCTTTCATCTTAAAAAGAAGAAAAGCAGACTGGGTAACTGTTTCACAGCTGCTCCATTACATATAAAACCACTTACTAAGCTTAGCCAAGCAAGATGTATTCCAGGATGCTCACAAAGACAAGAGTCTCAATTACTTCTCACAAGACTTGGTTTTTATTCTAGATATTAAATGTGTTTCTTTGACAGTCAGTATTGTTGAAATCTGTGCATTCTTGATGTATGAGTACAAAAAATTACACCAGTGCTTTGCAGAAACTCTCTCAAATATCTGTTACTTACCTTAATTAATTCTATACTTTGTACAGAAGCAATTCCAAAAAACTGAAAAGATGGGCACAAAAGCACAATCTCCCACCTTTAAAAAGGAAAGCAATTATTATTTTGTCTTATTTTCAGGACTTCCTCCTAAAAACACACATATAAGGAAGGTAGCCACCCTATGAAGACGTCTCCAGGATGCGGGACTGCCAATGAGACTCTAAAAGCAATTCAGAAGGCTGCCTCCAAAATAGGCATCAGATACAAAAGGAAGACAGTTACACATTAAACAACACTTTTCCCATTTCCCTAAAAAAAATATACAGTGTGCAAATATGTAGAAAGTTGTTTAAATTTAGGTGTATAGTACCCAAATAGAAGTCTTATCAAATGACTGGGATTGCCTTTCAGCAATTCTCTGATTCAGTGACTTCTGACCGTATGCTTCTAATGATCTGGGGATTTTATACACACTGCTAATCTTGCATATGGATACATAACATAACCATAATTACACCTGCTTTTTTCTCCCTGCTTAATGAGAAATTTGAGTTTGTTTTAGGAATCTGTATGAAGAAAGCAAGATCAACTCATGCCAACCAGAACTGGTTTGCACATCACGAAATTAAATCCTTCAGCTTTGCTTGTGAAGAAACAAAGAAGCCAGAGGATGCAGAGAGGCAAGTCAGGCGAAATACAATTCAAAACTAATTTTAAATTATAAAGTAAGATTTGGCCATGTGAAATCAATATCCTTTTCAAATATCAACACAGAAAACACCTTCATTCATCATCAGTTAAACGTACCTGCTTAAGTCTTCCTCCTATCTGCATTAAAGATTTGCACATTTTGTTTAATTTGAAAAAGCTCCACATGCTTTAACTTGCCTGGAGATGGTACAAATTTCACAAGTATTCTGTCTTGAAGTGTGTTCAGTGAGTTTCATAAACATAGATACACATCTGCCAAAGAATGCACTAAACCATAATTCTATATATTCTTTCTCTACATTTTCATAGAAAAGGATATCTGAAGTCAGTTTAGTAGGCAAGAAAGTTAGACAGGTCTTTCAGCTCGATTTATTTTGAGACTAAGGCAAGCACCAAGAGAAAAGCAGAAATTCACAGAACACCGTCATACTGATTAAGTAAAAAAATTTTTGCCTGTAGACAAGGTATTTCAATTCCTTTTTAAAAAAAGCATAAAAGCTGAACACACATGCCTAATTACTGTCCTTTAAAGGAAATCTATTATGACTTTATTACAAAAAAAAAACCACATTAAATTGAACTACATTTGAGGTGATGGAAGATGTCCAAAGAAGAGCAACAAAGCTAGTGAAGGGTTTAGTGCACAAGTCCTGTGAGGAATGGCTGAGGGAACTGGGTTTGTTTAGCCTGGAGGAGAAGAGGCTGAGGGAAGACGTTATCCCTCTCTACAGCTACCTGAAAGGGGGCTGTAGCGAGGTGGGGGTCAGTCTCTTCTCCCAGGTAACAAGCGATTGGATGAGCAAAATGGCTTCACGTTGCACCAGGGGACGTTTAGATTGGATATTAGGAAAAAATTCTTCACCGAAAGGGTTGTCAGACACTAGAACAGGCTGCCCAGGGAAGTGGTAGAGTCACCATCCCTGGAGGTATTTAGAAGATGTGTAGACGTGGCACTTTGGGACATGGTTTAGCAACAGACTTGGCAGTGTTGGTTAACGGCTGGACTTGATCTTAAGGGTCTTCTCCAACCTAAATGATTCTATGATTCTACATGTTAACTTCATTTCATCAGCTACGGCTGCTAACCACAAGCTACTATGGTCTAATTTTATTGATAAAGCATCTTATTACTATCTGGTTTCTCATTTGCCATATTAACAGAAAGTACCTTTCAACTGTAAGTATTGTGCAACATTTTTTATGAATAATTCAAAGAGCAACCTAATTAGTGATTACCATGCAATGATAAGCAACTGTTTTACACAAATTCAAACATGTCAAACATGTTTTCACCAGAAAACCTCTATATAACTGGAATAAGCAAAGACTGCTTTGAGTGCTCACGCACCTTTCTCCATCCAAAGTTATTCATTCAATAATAACTTTACCTCTTTCTATGTCTCCTGTCATTTCTTTAGGTCACCATATTTACAACACTAGCATAACCTTTAACTATTCTGACAAAGCCTTATAACAGCATATAAGCATTAAAAAAAAAACCAAAAACCAAAGAAATCAGCATAAAATATAAGCTACTTCTATTACACTACATGGTGCATTTCAAAGGGAATAAAAAACTGGCAAAGGAGCATTGAAACTGCAATTTGTTCACTTTGATATCTTTAATAAGCGTATCTACTTCCCACCCACTCCACCATGGTATACACCTAATGTGAAGATGTTATGACACAAAAAGATATACTTCATCTTTCTTTTGTAGATATCTAACAAAAATAACATAATTATTTGCTGAGACACGACCATGATGATTACAGACTCAGAGTACCTTATTCCCATAAACAGTATTTCCTTAAGCACAAACTATAATTTTGCACAGTTCACAGAACTTGCAGTTCTTAGGGACTACAGACTGAGAAAAATTACAACTTGAAAACAAGATGATTTCTGACAAACGACAACTGTTGAATTCTTGTCTCTGCACTTAAAAAGTACACGTACCTTTTCCTAAATGTGTATTTATACTCATGTATCTAGCTGTTCCTGTAAGGCTCTTGTGTTCTCGATACGGTATGTGCTTCTTTGTTTCTGGATCTATATACTCCTTTGCCAAACCAAAATCTACAATATGAATAATTTGTTGAGTTTTGTTTCCAGGTCGTCCTATTAAGAAGTTCTCAGGTTTTACATCTCTGTATATCAAGTTCTTTGAATGGACATATTCCATACGAGAAATCTTTAATAAAAGAAAAAAAATGACAGAAAGTTTAGTATAAGCTTCAGGTTGCCACACTAAATTGTGGTAGAAGCTAAAGATCTTACATTGACTTTATATTTAGAGGAAATCACCCCTCCTATTCCCTTAAAACCAAAGGGCTATTGCTCTTAACAAGGTATCTCCAGTTAAAGAGAAAGAAAATTGCACACATCCCGTAAGCAGATATACCACATGGTGTATAAGAAATGTTCACACTGGACATTAGATGTGAATCAGTATATAAAAGAATTTATCTTCTTTAAGAATAGCTGGCACCAAGTATGTCTTGTGTACATTAAAACTATAACCAGAAATTATGTCATCAGCAGTGAGCAGCAAAGTTCCACGTAGATCTATCACATACTAAAGGTATAAATGAGAGTAGCACTGAACATTCACCACTATGCATAGAACCTCCATTCTAGCTGGATCGCTTTGCATCAAAATTTACATATTCAGAAAGGAACATCAAGTATTAAATAAAGATGATCTCTGGATCTGTGAACATTTGTGCATTCTAAAAAATGAACTTTTGTCATTTTGGCTGTAAATAAGCTGAATATGTCTGTATGTCTATAGCTGCAGTCCTGTTATATGATTACAGTCAAGTTTTAAACAGTTATTTTTACCCTTCATGGATAAAAACTTCACTACCTATTTAGGGAAATAGAGGTTCAGTATCATTAATATTTAATAAGGACTTATTTAAAACACATTGTATCAAGGTAAATACGCAAAGCCTTATTTCTCTTTCTCTCTCTCTCTCTCTCTCTCCACTTCCACCCACCCTCAAGTGGGAACCAAATCAGGAAACAAAGAAAAAAAGGGGGGAGGAAATTCTTCATTGAAAAATTCTGTGCTATTTTAGTAATTCTGGAAGGGTTTGGGGTATTTTTTGTTTGTTTGCTTGCCTTCTATCTGAGAATGCTCAGGAAAAATATGCTATTTAGGAATCCCATCATCCAACTGCTTTCATGGATTAAAATTATTTTTATTTCATGAAGATTTTCTTTTTAATTATGTTAAACTAAAATTCATGATTTCAGGTTGTGAATATGAGAACTGCGAAGACACAATGAAAATACATCCATGCAACGATTCTTGAAAAACTAGAACAAAAGTAAATGAAAGTGACATAAGACAGACTTTCTGATAAAACTGTATCACAGGCTCTTTAGAAGCCACCACCACCAATCTAAAAGATGGGAAGTGCAAATCTCTTATGTGAAATAAGCATTTAATCCATTGAAGACTTAATTATTCTAATGAACTTAATTATTCTAATGAACACTCAAATTAACAGCTATTCTACTTACCAACTGTATGGCTATCAGAAGAACAGTTTTAAGAGAAAATGTCCTACCACACAAGTCAAACAAATCTTCCAGACTAGGTCCAAGTAGTTCTAGTACCATAGCGTTGTATTTGCCACACGGGCCAAAATAGTAAACCTGAGGTATTCCATCTGTAAAATGAAGATAGGAAGCAATTATAAAGGGTTAAATAAGATCAATGAGCATATCAATAAAATTTCTACCTGATTTCAAGTTGACCTAAAGTTAAAAATATAATTTTCACACAAAAGCAACAATAAAACGTCGTAAAAACTACAGGTAAAAGAGACAACAGGAATAATGAAGGTAGTATAACTTTCATTAAATATTTTATGAATATTACATGTTTGATGTGCAAAGATTTAAAGCTTTTTATAAAAAATAAAAATCAGAACCTATCTGTTAGGTTTTACGACAATAAATTGAAATACCATTTTTAAAAGGTATGAAGAGAGGCTTAAATAAGCTCCTTTTCGAAAAAATAAGCATTTAAATTAAACTTTTTAAATTAAGGCTATGACAAGCGTACATTCAGGAATAAAATCACCTCATTATCTACAGAAGTCATTTAAAAATCCAAAAGAGATTAATGAATCTTCAAGTTTAATGAGACATTAAGTCTGGACTTTATAGCTATATATAAACGCCTGCTTTAAGAAGCCAGGCAATCCACAAGTTTGAAATTATCATTATTTGAAGCCTTATGATCCAATTTTACTTTCGCCTTTTTGTACATATACATTGTGCGATTATACAATTAAAAATAACTTGATATCATTGCCTGTATTCATCTTGCACTTCCTCATATGCACAGGACCTCTTCCTCATTCAGCGGAATAAATTTTGTTCACTTAAGGAAGCTAGTTACTCCAGACTTTTTTTGCCCTTCAGTATCTATCCTCTGTGTCTCATTTACTCTATATATTCCATACTCTGATACTGTATTTTTCCTTTCATGTCAGCTTTTTTTATGGTGTCCATTGTTACAATACTGTACTATACAGAACTACAAAATCTATTTTCAGAATACCCTAATGAAACAATGGATTTCACCTTCCTTCTCTGTATATAAAATATAAGTTTAAAAATTAAAACATCCCTAACTCTGGGTGTTTTTTTTGTAGTACATCAAGTCTCAAGTTTGTTATACCTTACTAGAGTGCTACTTACACTCACAGCACAGATTTCTAATTGTGCTCTCTATAGCTTTGGGTAAAAAAAAACAATCAAACAAACAAAACCCACAAACACACACACAACTTACTGTTTTACCAAAACTAAAGGCAAATGAACACAACATTTTTAAGAGCATTTTCACTAATCTTGTTTCCTACAAGTCAGAATAATGAAAACATAACCCCTAAAAATCCATTTACCTGTTCAATTTTCTGAAGACTGGAGCTACAATTTGTTATTTAGTTATGTATAATCATACCCATATCTATACTAATAGACTTAATATGCATAATCATACCCATTTCAGAAAGACTTCACAAGAGTAGCTTATTGCTATTAATGACGGAGCATAGACCACATTGCATACTACAACGAACACAGTACAAGGTAGTGGTTTTAATTTTAAAAAGATCATCCCTAATTATCAGATAATAGATCAGAAAAGATGTTTGTAAGCATAAGGAGATATCATAACACTAGAATTCAAGTTTTCTGCCTCTACTTTCTGGTATGGTGGAATTACACACAGAAATGTGGATGTATCTGCAGCAGCAAATTACATTAACGAACAGAGGTACAGAAATGTAAGTCAAAAAAAAAAAAAACCAGACCCGAACAAAAAAAAAAAAAAAACACCAAAAAACAAAAACAAAAAACCAAACCAAAACAAAACAAAAAATCAAAAAACAAAAACACCAAAAAAAACCCAACCACAAGCCACCTGAGTATATAAAGAGAAAGAAAAGCATTGGTAATTTGGAAGGAAGAGCACCACTTCAGAATATGTCTCAGGTCATTATGTGAATCTCGGTTCTTATATTTGCATGTTTAAAGACATTAACTCCAAAATATTCTCAAGAAGAGTTAGTCTCCTCTATTACCACTGCATCTGCTCTGTGCCTCTCTAATATTTTAAAATTTTAATCGCACTTCAAAAATACAGAAGTCATAAGACTTTTGGGCTTCGTCTAGATTTACAGAACTTGTTTGCATGACTACACGCTAGTAAAAGAGTAAACATTTGTAGAAAGGAATTTGTGACATTGTCAGATTTGTAGGCAGAGTTGCCAATTTCAGAAGTTTTACAGGAGATATCAAAAATACCCTTTAACATTTTATTCTACCACATCATATCATGAAAGCACCACAGCAACTCTTAAGTATACATCCAGGGAAAAGAGTGTTTCAGTTGTGATTATTTTCATTGTATTTAACATGGTAAGAACAGTACTTAATTCTACCTACAACACTCAGTCTTCAGCTAAAAACTCCAGAATACCCCAAAATGGTGTTTAAAGTGTTGTTACTAAGTTCTGCAAGGCAGATACAGAGTATTACACACAAAATTCCTCGTGTTTATAAAATCATTTCATATTAACAGTTCAAAGTAGAAGTAGTTTGGGGCTTTGTTTTGGTTTTTTTAATCAAAATAATTCTTACTGCTTTTGCTTAAAAACAATAACCTAGTATCATTCTGTTATTTGCATTATTTCTTCATGTCTCTAGATCTCCCAAAGTCGGAAAGTAACTTGTTACTTATATTTGAGGGTTTTTTGCCCACAACAGAGATATAAATGTAAGCTCTTTTATATAAATTTTTAAGAAAAATTGGTTAAGTTAGAAAAACAAATAAACTTTCATTCCTGTGAAATTAACAATTCACCCTTTTGTTGACAGGATATTCCAATACTTCCAGTATTTCCAATTAAGAGTGTGTATTTTATTTCCATTTTGAATTAGTCTGGCTTCAACCACTGAAGCCCTGTGGTGTAAGAATAAAAGGAAATATTGGGAACTTGTAAGACACATCCCAGCTTTTGTTCTGTGAAATTAAAGAAATCAGTGTTATTAGGTATCTTGCTCAATAATTACTTTGATACTATTCAACCCTTTCTATTAGCTTGACAGATCTTCTGCCTCATTCTCAAAAATCTTTTCTAAAAAGGAGTACCACCCCCCCAAATTATGTGCAGAGTTCAATGCCTGTCACACTAATGTTACTATAAAGTTACAAGTAACTTCCTATTCTTCCGCCAATGAAGAAACCTACCTGCGGCCAAAAAATAGTATCACATACTCCCACTAAATTACTTTAACACTAAAGTATCTAATTCCTTTCTAGGTTTACAACTCTGAATACAGTATACTTATTTTGAGTCACATTTGCTTATCCCTAGATATTTATCCTTGCTCACAAGTAAAACATTTTCATTTGAATGGACTCAATTTACTAAAGCCATCTACCAAGCTTTATGTGACTGCCCTGTCATAGAATTGTAAATCCATTTTAAACCAATATGACTTTTAATCCCATTCTAGTCATGGCAAAAATCAAGGAAGTCTTGACTTGGAAATCCGCTTGGATTCCAGTTTCTTTTCCTAGAAAAGATAATTTTCATTAGCCATCTAAAACATTGCTGCTGTACACTAGTGGTCTCCAAAATAGAGTGCACACCCAAAAAGTTCACAAGACTATCCACTGGGGTGCTGGAAAAAACTATGAGAGCTGATATTTATTTTTTATGTAAAAATAAGAAACTAAGCTTTGCTAATAATAGATGTACGGCTTGACACTGGAGCCCTCATTCGGTCAGATGGTTGTGTCACATACCGTATGCACAGGAGAGAACCTGGCAGAAGACTGGGAATGTGGAGATGATGACAGTAGTGTACTCATTCATTCGCTCACTTTTGGCTTATTGAAGTTTATGTGTGCCCAGGTAATTTAAGCCCAGGATTTATGCATTATATTGTCTAGTTTTCAACAAACTACCCTTCACAAAATGGACAAGTGGCTTAAAATGATTCCTAAAAGAAACAGCACCTTGAAAATAATGCTACTAATGGTAGCACAAGCAAATAGCAGAGCTGATACTTCCTCTGCTCCTTATATAAGCTTGTTTTCAAGAAGAATTTCTTGAAAAGCTAACTACAGAAGATTACCACCTTGTGTTTGTCAGCTCAAGAAAACAGCATTAAATATTCCATATAAATTGTCACATTGTGATAAAAACTGCATCATCAAAGTATCAAAATCAAAATTATCAACATATCAAATTCATCATCAAAATATCAAACAAGGGGCATATATCCTCCAGTTATTCATTTTTTCCATAACTGTATACATTGCAATCCCTCCAGTATTTTTAGTAAGTCAGGCTTCTAGGTTGCTTTATATTCAGAGAGTAGAAATGAAAAACAAGTGTCAACTTGTCTTCTGTTCCCAGTTTTTTAGCACTAGGTAAACAGTTATTGAACAGAACCATCTCTGTCATCTGTCAAGACTGATTTATCACTCAAATGCTTTAGTCCACCATGTCTAGGTACATGATGTCCAGAAAGTTTTTAAAGCTGACAGGTCTGACTTCCTCTGTAACAATGACAGGATAAAAACATTAGAATAAAGAAAATATTAATAGTAGATTACAACTGTATCTGTCAAACGTCTTTAAAACAAAGAAAATCAAGTGGAAGCTATTTCTAGTTCACAACCATTATCCACCTTGGCTGCGATCTTTTTCAAGAACTTCAGCATCAAACCTGATTTAAGTCTGAGGCTACATGCTATTCACTCCACTTACCTAATGCAACATATGTGTTGACTGGCATGAACACATATTCATATCTGAAAGCAAACACAGATGCTACACAGTAGCCTCAATTACTGTACGTGTGTGTCCTCATTCAGAAAACAAAATTAACTTGATAAACAAGCAGCAGAGACTGACTGTCAAAGAAATATCACAGAATCATAGAATGTCCTGAGTTGCAAGGGACTCACAAGGATCATCAAGTCCAACTCCTGTCTCCGCGCAGGACAACCCCAAAATTCACATCATGTGTCTAAGGGCATTGTCCAATTGCTTCTCAAACACTGTCAGGCTTGGTGCTGTGACCACTTCACTGGGAAGCCTGTTCCAGTGCTCAATATGTAACACACAGGACAA